CGCGCAGCCTCTGCCTCCCCGGCCGGCGCGAACGAGCGGGCGGGCGGCCAAGGGGGCCCGGCACCCTCCCCCCCGCCTCGGCTGCGGAGGCACTGGCGGCGCTCCGGTGTCGGCGGCCCAGACCCCGGCAGCCCGCGACCAAGTGGTTCGTCTTCCCCCGAGGGGCGAAAGCTACCGTGAAGTCAGCCCCCAGATCTGATGCAAAGCAGCTCCCAAAACCGCAACCATCCCGTGTCTCATCTCCAAGTAACTCTCACAAGACAGCTGCAAATCTGCTCGCGCACCGAGGAGGTCTTTAATCGTGCTGCCCTCTACGATATTTTTAGGTTTCCTACTGTAAATCTGACGAGCATGTCTCACACGACAGCCTTGGGCTGCTAAACAGGAACACTAAAATCCTCTACCTTCGCGCTACGGCTTCCACTGATGTCCCAAGCTTGCGTCGCGTCCGCTAAGAGCAGCACGTAGAGAAAGGGCTATTATCCCTGCCACTGAAGTTAAAAATACGCTCCAGTGAACTAAACATAACCGATGAAGAGTTTGTTCAAATATGTTGCGCTGGAAACTTTTCCAATCTGTTTAGGTTTCTCACCCGCACGGGAGGCGCCTCCTCCATCGTTAGGAACAGAGTGCCCTCTGCTGAAACTCGGCTGACAGGGGAGCCCGGCCAAAGGCAACACAGGGACCGGGGAGCGGACCCCCGGGGGGAGAGCTGCACACCCGGCTCGCTGCGGCACGCAGGGGACGGCTCTCCGGGACAGCCCCGACTTCGCACGAACACCTGCGCTGCCCGCTCTGCCTCCTCCACGCCACTCCAAGACTCGCAGGCTGCGCTGCCTGCAGGCTCACCCTGACAGCTGAGGCGAGCTGTTCTTTCCAGTCTGCACGTTACCACGATAACAGGCTGCGTAGCAGGCAAGAGTACTGCTAAGGACTTGATCTTTTCTTTTTCTAACACTGGTCAGCTGAAAGTACATCAACTTCCTGGAAAGCTTTGCTTTCTATCCATTTCAGCTGCTACAGTTACTTAAACAACCCAGCAGTCCTTTAACCATGGCTTCAGTTACAACCCTGCAATTTGTTACCTTCAAAAAAGATATATTGGTGCAGTCAGCTTATACTTCAGACTTGATGGCAAGTGATTTTAAAGCCAGAATTTAGCCATTAGATCAACTGAGGCCAAAAATCAATTCTCCTGTCCCAAAACTATGGCTGGTAGTACTGCAAGTACTACCGGAACAAAAAACCAAAAGATGTTCACAATCGCGGGATGAAGCTGACCCTCAAGACCTGCCATCTAGTTAGGAATGTACACAGCTTGCACCATCCCTATTTAGAATACCGCTTCTCTTAAAATTATTTACCCCTCAATAGTGAAGCAGTCCCCTGGGTCCCTGAAGCAAAAGCTGCAGAGTGGGCTACTAATTTGATTGCCAGATGGGCGTATTTAGACAAATAGCCCTGGCTATGTTCCTAGCACTTGTATTAGCCATAGATTATATTGAAAGGTTTGGCCCTGAGATTCTAATAACATTTTCCAAATCTGAATGCTGGTCAGCATTTCTTTGTTTTTCCCTTTTTCAGTGGTACTCATCTCTGTGTTCTCTACTTTCTCCTGCTGGCTTACTCTGATACCTTCCTTCAATGCTGCTCCTGGTCATTTGCTTCAGATCAGTTGGCTGTGTGCAGCCCTAACCATAAAGGATAATCAAACATCATGTGCACAAGTCTTAGAAACATTTGTTCATCTCCTGCAATAAATTTGAGCGTAGAAAAGAAGTTGTGTAATAGGAAGTAGCCTAGGTTAGCTCACATCAGATTCAGTGACTTAAGCGAGGCTGCTGCTTACATACACACTGAGTTCCTTGTGTGATCTTGGTCCAGGTTCTATGTCTGAATTTATACAGCATGTAAGAAAACAGAGGTAAGCACCTGCAAGCATTACCCATCAGGGAGATTTCAGAAAGCAGCATTATAATAAATAATGCAAGTACCTTGTAGTACCTACCTAGGAAAATAGCAATTGGCAATATGTTTTGCCCAAGCTACTGAAATGACATAGTATTGTTAATCCCATTCTCCTCCACCACCCATGGTCTGGTTTTGGTTTTATTCCATCAAAATCATCCTTTTTGTGAGGAAGATGAGCACCCAGGAAATAACAGTATTTGAGGCATAAAAATAGCCACGGCCCACTGCTGGAAAATATACAGGGGTTTGGACAGCTTTTAACAGGGCTTTTCCTATGTGAAGCTCATTCTCATTGAACGCAGATTTGTTGTCTCCTTTACCCAATTTAAACTCTTCATCTCAGCCTCACTCCACCCCCCTGCCACTTTACTCTTGTCTCTCTAGACTTCCAGTGACTGGAAGCTTTGAGATTTTGACTCCTGTTGGAGATCTCCATAACCCCTTCTGCCAAGCCAAGCAAAAACTGAATGAAACTCAGGTGTCCAGGCAAGATCTGTTTGAAAAAAAAACACTTCAAAATTCACAGCACTTGCAGCTCCATGGCAGACTCCTTCAATACGCACCCTAAATTTAAAGGCCACAAACCTACAGGTTCTGGATGGCTAATTTTCATCCCTGGATAAGTTCGTCAGCAATTCTGCAAAAACTAATTGACCATTCAAGTTTAAAAGTAATCACTCTTTTCTAAAAAAACATTTAACTTCTCTTCTGCTAACTCTTCAAGGCAGGAACTATTGTTCTTTGTCTCTTACATTATGTCTCCACAATCCCTGGTCCAGTGTCAAGTCCTTTAGGTATTACCTTATTAGCAGTTTTTACCACACAGTCTTCTAATTCCCGCTCATGCCACATTAGCTTGGCAAAGCTGGTGTAAGATTTTTGAATAGGAAACTATAGCAATGCTCTTAATGCTCGGAGTTCACATGCATAATTCCTGTATTTGTCTCTTGTTATTAGCAATGCTTTTTTATTACATATAAGCTTTTCTTTTACTGATGTCTAAAATATGAATAATTTAAATGACATTAAATATGACAGCTGTGAAGCCCTTGCTGTTCATAAAATTGTGAAATATGGACATTTGCACTTATTATTTCATTGAACGCAATCATGATCTTGTCCATCTGTACAGCTGGCATGATCTTTCATGAGGAAACTGGCTGGGAAATATGATGGTCTTATCCTTTGTTTTATACTGACTTAAGACCATGTGTCTTCACTATCAAACACAGCCATGAAATATTTTGTCATTCGTTGATTTACATTCAATTGTAATAGAAAATTTCAACTTAAACTCAACAGCGCAGGCAGAAACGACAGCAAAAAAAGATCCTGCAAGATACAGCTAAGGGCAAAATTGAAGAAAATTAAATGTCTGGCCTGGTAAACAAAAACTTCTGTTCGATCACATGACAACCGCCAGATTTCACTCTCTCAGTAAATATTAATAGAAAACCTTCACATCTAAAAGAGAAAAACCACATTTCTCTATTTATTTTTGTC